CCCCAAAACCCCAAAACCCCAAAACCCCAAAACCCCTAGAAGTTGAATCAGTTTTATTGGTTGAAAACTAACAAATTGGGCAATAAATATTTATCTACCACTGATTATTTTATTACAATAAATAAAGTAATAGTTCTAAGATCAACTAGACCAATCGCAATAAATAAAATGGACAAAAAAGACATCATGAGACAATATACCTCAGCAAAAGGTGCTTCAGCAAGCAAAAAGAGCTTTAGCGTTAACATTCCAGGCCTTGATACCCTGAAAAAGAATCTTGAGAAGACTTCAACAAAACAAGTTGTTGATCTGGTACTTTTCTCAGCTGGAATTTACTTGATGTACAGATTCGGCAAGTCTGTAGCAGATTCCCTCGACAGCCAAATGCCAACTGAAAAGAGCATGATGGACATGATGAAATAAATGCAAGGTCCACCAGGCATGCCACCCGCCCCCATGTGAGCCGGAAATGATGAAAAATTAGTATGATATAAAATCAATATTTTCTATTCTTAAGATTATTGCTTTAAATTTTGTCTCCATTTCAAGTTAATTATAAATAAAGTCTTAGTAATTATCTCAGAGCTTTATTATTATTTTATCAATATTTCATTGTTTAAAAACTATCAATTATTTAAATTCAAAATTAAATGTCAATTATGAAAAATACAAGCAGTAATGCCAGTGAAGTAGGCTTTTTCTAAGAGGTCTATTAGAACTATAATCAGATATGGCAGTCAGTACTAAAATTAACTCTAATCAATAATACTCTCGTTAATTTAAAGGTAGGTATTATCATACATTGCATAACTAATATATAATTTTAGAGCTTTGAAAAAATATTGATAAAATGTGGACTGAATGTTGAAAATCCCTATTGCAAATTTCTGCTACAAACTTCGATTAAAAAATATGATTGTTAGAATGAACCTCAAGCTAATAATTCTATAATAAATCAACCTTCCAAGCAGCAAGACTAACCACTTATAGATTATAAACAATTCTTAAATTAATCGATTAAGGCACTATCTCAAGAACCTTTCGAAAACGAGACTTTCATTATAGAGTAATTTTGGAAAATAAAATTCGGGGAGAATCATCACAGACACATTACAATATAGGAGTTCAACAAGGGTTTCTATGAATTCTTTAACAAAGACTCCAAAATGATTTCAATAGATTCAATAGACTAGATAGTGAATGAATGTTTTCAGTATGCACTGAGGAAAAATAAAAAATTCATTTCTAAAAGGAGCTTTAGGAAAGTAGTAAAAAGAAACTTCAGAGATATATTCAGCCTAATTCTTATTGATAAATCACAAAATAAATACAAGAAGCCATAAGATCCATTATCTCAGTAATCAGAATAGCTTACAGATCAGATTGGAGGATCTATCACTAAAGATGATACCTTAGGAGGAAATGTTTAATCAACTTATTATCCAGATTCATTAGATACCCGGTCTCAGAAATAATCAAGGCCTGCAATTATTTGTTCTAATCCTAGCAAATCCTTTCAAGAAACCAGCACATTTTATAATCTTAGTAATAACACGAGAAGTAAGTCCAGTGAAGGATTTTCAAACAATTACTAAAGCACTTCCTTTTAGCATTCATCATACGATGCATTAGCATAATAAATAAGCTATTTAACTGAGAAAAGATAGGAACTAAAGAGGAATGCATTATAAACACTGTAACTTGCATTGGAAAAAGCTTTAGACAGAATAGGGGCTAGAAGAGTCTTTCATAAGCTAAGAATTAATAGTGTAGCTTAGACTAGAAAAGCTTTTCTAAAATAAAGAAGTTAAATGATGGAAAAAATAATGGATAAAGAAAATATCTTACCATATAATGATAGTAAAGGAAGAAAGCATGAACTTTTTATGAGTAAGGATACTTCTGCATTTAATACTACTCATGGATCAAAGACTTAGCATTTTTAAGAAAGGGGAACATTTTCATTTAACAATCTTAGCAAGGACAAGAGAAAGTAAAGGATGATAGAGCATTAAAACTTTATTAGTCCTAACAATTTTAATAGTGATCTCTACCAAGAAAAGAACTTCCTATCAGAAAATGAGGACGAGTTGAATTTTCTCTAAAATATCCCTTAGAAGGAACACACTGTGAGTGCATTTGAAAATCAAAATAATCACTAATAGAGTCATCATCACAAAATTCAATCATATGGAAGTTTACAATATAGCAATACTCCCACAATGTCTTAAAGACCAGTATTTCATGTGCAGCAGTTTAAATATGATTAAATCCCAGTTTCAACTAAATCGAATAGTATATCTGCAAGGAATTATACCTGCACAACTAGTCAATCAAATGAATACAAACTTTTATCTTAGAGGCAGCACGAGCGCTAATTTTATCTTAGCTAAAATAATCATAACTCTAGAAGTCATCATGATTTATATACAGATATTAACAAATATGATAGCAATACTAATATAATAACTAGTCATCCAACAGACGATAGTACAATGAAGGATCTTGAATAGAAATTAAAAGATATCAGATCTGGTAATACAACTACTAAAAATGTCAGCAAGAGACATAGTACAAATAATCAGAAATGCATTGGCCAATCAAGTGGCTAAGGCAAGGTTAACCAATTCAAACATATTGTGAGAAACAGCTATTAAAACAGAAGGTCGAATAAGTCATCGATGCAATTTAATGACTCTAATGCTGCTTATCCAAGTATGGTTGTAAAAAATCTTGAGCATCTAACATTAGGAGCTCAATAATAATCCTCAGAATATTCATAAATTCATCATACTCATAAAAATTCAAGAGTCACAAACTTTGAGCAATTGACTACAGATTAAAATTCTATTATAACCGATATTACTCCAATTCCAAATTAAAATAGCTCTTCTCATAATTTTAGAGAAGATCACTCCTCATTGTCTAGACTGATTGATCAACATCCTTAGCAATCTATTATTACAACAAATATCCAAAGAACTCAAGATGGAAGAGTACCTTCTCATAAATCTAAAGAGGCTTTACACTATGAAAGGAAATATAAAAAGTCTAAGGATAAATTTAAGGCATTAACAAGTGAAAATATTCTAGAAAAAGCTAAAAATTAAAATCTAGAGCAGTAGAATTCTAATCTAGGATAAAAAGTGGAAATCCTTGAGAAAAGATTTGAGTAAATGTAAACAGAGCTCAGTAAAAATTTGGATAACTCTAATAGTATTCAACTTCTTCTGAAGTAATCTTAATAGAAATAGGCTATATCAACTTTGTTTTTCTTGAATAAGATGGTAGTTTAATCTAAAATGAGATATTACATCAACTAATGGAGAAACTAATGTATTAAAACTAACTATTAAGCTATGAAGCTTAACTAGCGTATGAAAGAAGCATAATTCAAGGACAAGTAAAATTATTTTGGAGCCTGGGTTAGATATACATTGACTAGAAAAACTAGGAAAGAAAAGAGAAAGATTTAAAAACTTCAAGTCAAGTCTCTTAGGATTGCAATGAAAAGATTAATGCTTGGTTAGTAAAAGAAATTTTTTAACTTTTGGAAGGGACCCTTCTTAAAAAATATGATGCTGGATGATTTTTAAAGAGATATGCAATTTGCTCACGAATAAGTTAAATCAATGAGAAACATTGTTTGTTTCAATAAGATTGAGTATATGATAGAGAAAAGGGTAATTAATCTAAAAAGCTTCGCTTTAAGCAGGATGGTCCTTAATGATTTTAGCAAAAGATCGTTTAATGCAGAAACTTCAGAGTTTTTTACTTAATCTAAGTCTTTTAGTGCAACAAAGAAAAATAATGTTGTTTCTCCTCTAATTTAGCATTGCTAATTAAATAATAGACTTTAAATTTAGCAGTAGCAGTTCTACTAATAGCCAGTTCAATAACATTATCAATATATCTCCTAATATGAGGATGAAAGAGAGTATTAGAAAAATATTCAAAATACAGATTATTCATAAAAGATGCTGATGCAAAGAAGATAGCAAAAGCTTCTTGAGGGTATTGAGATGATATATAATGTGCTTAAAAGATAAAGTTAATACATCAAAGATGATTACTTCTCAATATGGAAGCATTATACTTATAATTGCAATTAGCAACAACAAATTTAATAACAGCAATTAGAGGAGTAAAACTATTATTAGCAAATACAATATCAGTAGATGAACTATTATCATCCAGAGCAAATATTTAATAATGCATCTGGTGATTTAGATACCTCTCAAGAAGTTCCGTTGAACTTAATAATCAATCCTGTAAGGCAAAATCAGTATGTAGAGAATGGATAGTTGAATGCTAATAGTGTTTAACCTCAATAGCTACAAGAGCCTTGCTACTATAAGACCAATGAAGGATATTTCTACCCTAATCAGCAAGAATTGCTCAGTCCTAATAAATTCAATGGATAGAAAAGACTAAACTTTATTGAGTATTCTTCTAAGAACTCATCAATGCAGTAAATTCCCTATGAATATCAGTCTAATTACTAGTCAAGTGTTCAAAGCCTTTCACCTATTAATGTAATTCCAAGACCATATCCCTTAACTCATGCACCTACTCAGCAATCTTAAATTATTGCCTCTAACAACAGTAGTTAGAGTAAGATAATGACATAGAAGACTAGAAGCTAGATAATTAAACCAATTTAAGCTTAAGAGATTAATTAGATGCAAAACTTGAACGATGTGAGCACTCTATCAAGAGGAAGTAACGGAGGAAATAATAGCAATTATACTGGAGATTAAAGTAGTACAAATAAAGAGGAATTGTTTTAGGCAATAGCATATTTGAAAGCAAAGGTCAACGTGGGCCTTTGAAATCTTATTTAGCCATGTTAAATAATTAAGAAAATGGATTTTTGTCTTCTCCACCTATATTAAGATTCCTTTATTTCATTATGTTGCCACTATCTTCACTACCAGGTTTGTAACCTCCACTTCTGGTTCTAGCCGTTATAGCTTTATCATTCTATTTCTTTCCTCCTTAGTTAAGAATGTCCATTTCATCCTGCACAAATTCAACTCCTTCTCTGTCATACTTTTCTTTCATCTCCTCAAACTTTACCCTTTATCTTTAGTTTTCAATTTTAATATTGGCTTTAACTTTTTCACTCAACTCAGCTGATTTTTCAAGTTCTTAATCAAACTCAGCCAACATAACTGAAGGTAATCTGACAATTTCACTTCTCTTACATTTTATAAAAGGTCTTGATCTAAGTACTGCTCTCACAATATCTTGATAAGTGAGTGATTAATTTCTGAGTTAAGCTGCAGCTGGCATTATCAGCATTCTCATTGCTTCCCAAATGTAAAGATGCAAATTTTGATAGCCGACAGTTAAAACACCACACACTTCTTTTCCATATACGAAATATGCAATAAACTTTCTCGCTTCCACATCTCCCTCAATAATGATCTCATGAAATCCTTGATTTCTTTCTCCAATGAAATAGATTGGAGTATCACCCAATTTTAATGGAGTGAAAGGGATATATCTGAACTCAACTCTTTTATCCATCATGTTCATAGCTGCAAAAAATGCCGATTCTATGTTGTATTTTACATCCTATGTTCGAACTTTGGTTTTTTGCATAAATGAGGGATATTAGGTACAAGATCCACAGGCAAAGATAGGAGAATGAATATCGTTATAGTGAAGTGAGAACTTAATATCACATGCTGGGATACCGTTTGAATCTACTCCAATTGCTAGAGGGGGTTCATCACTTTCAGCATGGACATCTGGAGTCAATAATTTCTTAATCTCAATTTTAGGAGCTCCAAGTCCATTTTCAGCAATGACTATATCTGGCTTAATAAAGTATTCAATTTTCTTTTCTCCCTTCTTTTGATTATTTCTCTTGAAGTAAATTGAATCTAGTTTATCAATTCCTCTCATCTTTGTTATTTCTGCAGACATAATCACACTAATTCTTTAATCTCTTAGCATCTTATGTATCATGCTGGCTATATTTCCTCCGAATGCTTGCTCAACTTCACTGGGCTAATGATCCAATAAAATAATTTCAGTCTCAGTCTATCCTACTGAGTCTAAATATTTTCTCACAGAAGACGCAGTTTAGTATGCTTCAAAAGTACCTCCCATTACTAGTATAGTCTTAGCCTTCAAAATTTCATTGTGAACTTTGGCATGAGAAAATCTATCTTCTAAATAATATACATTAGAATATTCAGAGCCAGCCAAATTCTATATTCTCTTTTTCTAAGACCCCCAAGCAATCATAACTTTATCAAATTTTATCTTAGACTTTTGACCCTTCATGCCTATCTCATTTTTGTTTAGATCGATACTTGATAGTTCTCCTGCCACCACTTCAACATTAGCTCTATCCAGGAAATCTTTTTCGACCAAATAAGACTCATTTTTCTAGATTGGACTAAACTTACGATTCAAAATATCTAGATTCTCAAACTAACCATATGATGATGTTGGAATAAGAACAATTCTACCAGTAAATTAAGTTCTTAGTGCATCAATTGCTGATAAAGCGGCTTCACTATCACCTATAACTGCAAAAACTCTTGGATCAATATGCTCTCTTTGAATGTGGTTTTTCAATGAAAAAGCAGGGATGTGTTCAGGGGTAATGAGCTGTACTTATTCTTCTCTTATAGAGGTTGAAAAAGATGAAATATTTCTAAGTGAAGGTCCTTAATCTACAAATCCATTTTTTATGTCATATGTACTTCCACAAGTTGGGCATATCAACTTCTCACCAAGAAATGCTCCAGTCGCTAGATTTGTGTAATCAAATCCACAAAATGATCCAACAGCATGATATTGGCCTTCATGCTTCGCAATGATCACTCTATCAGTAGGATGAAATAGATTGTCATTAAAGGGGTCACACACAGATATTTAAACCATTTATCCATTCTTTAATAGATCATGTTTGCCTATTTTTATTATTCTGTATTCTTAATGTCTCATCTTTGTGCTTTCTTTCTTCGAGTAAGGATCAAGAATGTAGGAAGCTTGTTTCTCTAGCTGTTTTTACTTGCTGTCTTTATCATATTACTCGATACTATAAGTCTTATCAAGTTCCCTCATGTCTTCAATGTCTTCAGGAGTAATATCTCTTTCGATCTCAGTAATATCAGTCTCATCTCTCTCCAAGTATTCCTTCAACTTCTGCTATTCTCTTTCTTTCAGAAGCTTTGGTATCTCAAATGAGTCCAATACATTCTTGACAAACGATTTAGGCTATTATTCTTGCTCTTGATTCTCAGTATTATCACTTTCAGGCTCAGACTCAGATTTGTCTTTGGAAGGACTTGACCCTAGCATAAGTATTGCGGTTGCAAGGGAAACCATTCCAAATTATCTGTGATGATTTTTTGTATTCTAGTTACAACCTACTTTTTTCTAACTAGTACTGAATTTCACAGTGATTGGCTGTCTCACAAATGTTTAAGAACTACTCAATAGCAGACTTTTGTTTTATGTTATTAATCTAGACAAATTATATTTGAACATTTTATCGCTATTATTAATTTTATAGACTAAAACCTATAATATATTTAAATTTTAGGTTAGTGGGGTTTTGGGGTTTTGGGGTTTTGGGG